CAAGTGATGGGTCCTATGGAACTTGAATTTTGTTGTGCTCTTTGGTGTAAACAAGTGATCATCTATCACTGAAGTCTTGCTTGCCTGCGTGGCAACCCGGATCGGAATGTCCCACAGTTCTGCTTGAGAATCCATGTTCGGTGTAGCTAGTGCTGGAGGTGTTGACTTTTGTTACGTGGTTGGTGAAATAGGAATATAGAACTCAAACCCAGTTTGGAGTGTGTGCCTTGCTTCTGCACCAAGGTCGATATTTATTCTCACTCCTGAGTCGCCCTGGTGTGACAGTCAGTACCTCTATTGGCCTCCACTTGCCCTTCAAGTCAAATAGTGTATTTCAGTGGCAGTGAGCAGGAAGGGAAATACAAAGCAAGGAAGGAGCTGGAGGTGGTGGAGTGTTGAGTGCCCCTTTCACCAGTCAGGGTTAACAGTTGCGAGTACAATGTGCTAAATTAGAGCCCTGCAGGATCCATATGTTGAGACTACTTGAAAGAGGCAGTAAATGTGACAGAGCCCAAAACAGTTCAGGGGCCATTTAGAAATTATCTGTTTAGTCGTGATAAGCAAGGCTGGAGATGGCCAAGAGAGATCAGACAAAAAGGAAGAGGGCAATGACCCACAGAGAAGTAGCACAGAAGAAGAACAGCTGGGATAGAGACCAGGGAGGTGTGTAAGACTGCAGCACTCCATGCCCGGTGGTAAATAACTTTGTTCGGCTTGCTAGTATCATTTACAGCCCTGAGGTCAAACAACAGAGAACTAGTGACCAGCATGTGAGAGGAGACAGTTAGCAACCTAGCAAGGGGGGAGAGGGAGACAGGTTTGCGAAAATGGTGGTGCTCAAAATGCCAAAGCCCGCACCCCTCCCCCACTTAAACTCTTCCCTCCCCCAGCATCTGCCTAAGGCTCTAAGAGGGAGTTTGTATGGGGGGGGCGGGCATGGTGAGGAAGGTGTGCTGACTCTTGGAGGGAGTTTGGGTGCTGGGTGCAGGCTCCAGACTGGAGCAGGGGATTGGAGGCCTGGAAGGGGGCAGGCTCTGGGTGGGAGTTTGAGTGCAAGAGGGGTGAGGGGTGGAGCTCTGGGGGGGCATGGGTGCAGGTGGAGTTCTAGGGTGCTGGCTCTGGCAAGGAGTCTGGATGCTGGCTCTGGGAGGAAGTTTGGAGACAGGGTGGGGGGAAAGGGGGCACGCTGGGGAAGGAGTGGAGTGCATGAGAGGGTGTGAAGGGAGTGGATGGGGGATGCCCCATGTGGCAATGCCTCCTGGGCAGGTGGGGGGTCTCCAGGTGCTTCTGCCCCCCTGCCACCTCATGTGCTCCTTCGGATTCCCTTTGGCCCTGTGCACCCTTCGGCCCTGCCCTCCATCTGTGGCAATTTAAAACGCTATGGGGCCCCACCAGCAATGCAGGCTTACCCTGGCTGCTGGTATGTGTGTCCCTGGGACCAGGAGGGTGAGGGTGCGCTGCTCCAGTAAGTAGCTAGTTATTGCTAGACATAAGGTTTGGGAGTTAAAATGAGACACCTGAGAAGCAAACTTGCCTGAGCAGCTGCTGGGAGCAGCAGACCAACAGCAGAAGCAAGTGGAGGGGAAGAGAAGTACTTTCTGTCTGACCTATGCGCTGCTTCTGTTCCATGGCAGGACAAAGAAAGTAGCATGCAGGGTGAGAGAAAACCCCTTCCAGAAAGCTAATGAAACAGAGACCAGACTCTCTTGGTAGTCTGTAAACACCAGCGATAGGGTTTGTGCCAGAAGCTCTATGCTCAAAGCAGAAGACACTAGCCTAGCAACAGTCCCTGAGCAGCACAGCCAAGCTGTGATCATTCCATAAATAAAATTGGCAAGGGGAGATTTGTCCTTCAGATTGCACTCTAAGAACACTTGGCACATTCCTTCATTGCTGCCAGAGTGAGATGCTATAAAATGGCCTCGAAACCACGCCAAAAGTAAGTAAGTAGACGAGGCCTCCACACGAGTGCAACTTGGCAGGTCTGAGCACTGTACAAATGTACGGTGCTAACGAGTGATTAACAATAATTAATTGGGAGGATGTTTTTGTCCTGTGAGTACCACCCAAGACCAACACCGGGGTTTTATTTTTGTATTAGCCACACTAGAGGTGGAGAAATTCTAGGACAGCTGTGCTGGGAGTTTTTGGTAGCTAGAAGCATACGAAAATCATGACTGTCGTGCGCCCGATGTTTTCAGCAGCATTCTTATGATTTGAGAACCACAGAGCAACTGTCATACTTTCCTGAAGGATGGGTGAGATAACTCAACTTGCCAAAACAGTCTTTAGTGTATTACAATTGTCTGGTTTGTTTAAAGTGCATGCTTTTTCGAGATGACATTTGTTTATTAAAATAATTCTGGGAACCATCATTGTGTCAGATTATTTTAAAAGAAGGATGATGTTGCGGTTCTTAATTTAAGACCCAATCCTGTGAAGTATTAAAACAGAGCAGTGTGGCCCTAAAAGCAAACATCCTTTCTGAATAGTCATGCACAGGGGTGCCAACAGCCTCCACAGGACTCTGAGCAATCGGGGGAGGAACGGGCTACACACTTCTGGAAGGGGTGGGGCTTGGGGCAGCCAGCCCTCCATGCTGCCGGGAGCACAGCGCAAACCCCCCTCCCCAGCCCTCAGAGCTGCACATAGTGCATGGTGCAGTGTTTCGGTGGCAATTGAAAGGGCCCAGGACTCCGGTCACCACTAGTGCCACAAGAGCAGTGGCTTGGAGTCCTAGTCTTGTTGAATTGCCAGGCTCTGGAGCAAGATCCCCCTTTGCCCCGTCCCCATCAACAGGCCTGGTCATCCACATCACAAAACTATCAGCAATTGGAAGACAAAGGTGTTCAGGACTGGTAAGCTGTAATTCAGATGGGAGAAGAGTCATTTTATTTTTAAGAATAACTGTAGGGATGGGAGTTTGAGTGCAAGAGGGGTGAGGGGTGGAGCTCTGGGGGGGCATGGGTGCAGGTGGAGTTCTAGGGTGCTGGCTCTGGCAAGGAGTCTGGATGCTGGCTCTGGGAGGAAGTTTGGAGACAGGGTGGGGGGAAAGGGGGCACGCTGGGGAAGGAGTGGAGTGCATGAGAGGGTGTGAAGGGAGTGGATGGGGGATGCCCCATGTGGCAATGCCTCCTGGGCAGGTGGGGGGTCTCCAGGTGCTTCTGCCCCCCTGCCACCTCATGTGCTCCTTCGGATTCCCTTTGGCCCTGTGCACCCTTCGGCCCTGCCCTCCATCTGTGGCAATTTAAAACGCTATGGGGCCCCACCAGCAATGCAGGCTTACCCTGGCTGCTGGTATGTGTGTCCCTGGGACCAGGAGGGTGAGGGTGCGCTGCTCCAGTAAGTAGCTAGTTATTGCTAGACATAAGGTTTGGGAGTTAAAATGAGACACCTGAGAAGCAAACTTGCCTGAGCAGCTGCTGGGAGCAGCAGACCAACAGCAGAAGCAAGTGGAGGGGAAGAGAAGTACTTTCTGTCTGACCTATGCGCTGCTTCTGTTCCATGGCAGGACAAAGAAAGTAGCATGCAGGGTGAGAGAAAACCCCTTCCAGAAAGCTAATGAAACAGAGACCAGACTCTCTTGGTAGTCTGTAAACACCAGCGATAGGGTTTGTGCCAGAAGCTCTATGCTCAAAGCAGAAGACACTAGCCTAGCAACAGTCCCTGAGCAGCACAGCCAAGCTGTGATCATTCCATAAATAAAATTGGCAAGGGGAGATTTGTCCTTCAGATTGCACTCTAAGAACACTTGGCACATTCCTTCATTGCTGCCAGAGTGAGATGCTATAAAATGGCCTCGAAACCACGCCAAAAGTAAGTAAGTAGACGAGGCCTCCACACGAGTGCAACTTGGCAGGTCTGAGCACTGTACAAATGTACGGTGCTAACGAGTGATTAACAATAATTAATTGGGAGGATGTTTTTGTCCTGTGAGTACCACCCAAGACCAACACCGGGGTTTTATTTTTGTATTAGCCACACTAGAGGTGGAGAAATTCTAGGACAGCTGTGCTGGGAGTTTTTGGTAGCTAGAAGCATACGAAAATCATGACTGTCGTGCGCCCGATGTTTTCAGCAGCATTCTTATGATTTGAGAACCACAGAGCAACTGTCATACTTTCCTGAAGGATGGGTGAGATAACTCAACTTGCCAAAACAGTCTTTAGTGTATTACAATTGTCTGGTTTGTTTAAAGTGCATGCTTTTTCGAGATGACATTTGTTTATTAAAATAATTCTGGGAACCATCATTGTGTCAGATTATTTTAAAAGAAGGATGATGTTGCGGTTCTTAATTTAAGACCCAATCCTGTGAAGTATTAAAACAGAGCAGTGTGGCCCTAAAAGCAAACATCCTTTCTGAATAGTCATGCACAGGGGTGCCAACAGCCTCCACAGGACTCTGAGCAATCGGGGGAGGAACGGGCTACACACTTCTGGAAGGGGTGGGGCTTGGGGCAGCCAGCCCTCCATGCTGCCGGGAGCACAGCGCAAACCCCCCTCCCCAGCCCTCAGAGCTGCACATAGTGCATGGTGCAGTGTTTCGGTGGCAATTGAAAGGGCCCAGGACTCCGGTCACCACTAGTGCCACAAGAGCAGTGGCTTGGAGTCCTAGTCTTGTTGAATTGCCAGGCTCTGGAGCAAGATCCCCCTTTGCCCCGTCCCCATCAACAGGCCTGGTCATCCACATCACAAAACTATCAGCAATTGGAAGACAAAGGTGTTCAGGACTGGTAAGCTGTAATTCAGATGGGAGAAGAGTCATTTTATTTTTAAGAATAACTGTAGGGACACAAACAGACCCCAAAAATGTTGTAAAGAATCCATCAAGAGATTTTTTTCATGGATTCTTGATCAAATATGAAGCTTCTAGGTGAAGATACCTTAACTTCCCCTTCCTAGTTCTATAAGCCAAAAAAGTCTGAACATGATGTTTGTAAATATAATACAGTCTAAAATAAAGATTGCTTACGTTCTAACTGGATAACCACTTTTCAGGACGCTGTCTCGGTACATTGCAAGCCCAGTTTCTGCTGGTGTCCATTCAAGAACTGTGTGGTAAGTAAACAAAGTTCTTTCTTAATACTCACAAGTCAAGTGTCGTATTCATTGGTTAAAAGCCAGACATTGTATTCCATGATAACCATCTACATAACTCTTCAACACCTTCACTAGAAGCAATGGAGTTCTCCACACACCATTCAGCTATGCATGGGTTCCCAAACTGGGGGGTGTGAAGAAATTCCCGGGGGGGTGCGAGGTGACCCAGCCTCCCCCCACATCAAGTTTTGCTGCCCTGTTCAGTTCTTTTTTTAACTTTTTTTTTTTTTTTTGCTCAATAAGTTTTGCTGCTATTTGGAAGGGGGGCGTGTGAGGGTTTTTCAAAAATCAAAAAGGGGGGCTGTGATGCTAAAGTTTGGGAACCACTGAGCTATAGCATAAATGGTCAGATAGAGGCATCTGAATCAAGTCACTAGAGGAGCCCATTATGCATCAGATGTATAACTCTGTGTTTCATTTAAATTGAATGGTCACATCCCAGGCAGTGTGAGGGAGCTGTGTCTGGAAGCCTTGAGAAGAAGCCCCTGTGACAGGCTGGAGGGGAGCTACACCCAGCCACGGTGAGAAGTGTAAGAGAGCCCGTGAGCAGGGCAAAGGAGAAGACCAGGACAGAAAGTGAACAAGGTGAAAGAACCAGAATGGCTGGGCCTCACCGCAGGGTGTGAACACCACTAGAGATAGGACAGGCTGTAGGGAGCGGCCCCGTGAGTTAGAGATGGGCTGTAATAAGAAGAATAAATGGAGAAGCCAGGAGGGAGTAATCCCTTCTCTTTGTTCTGTACTGCCCTGAGACCTGCTGGGAAGGGAGCCATAACTAGCACCAGCCTGGGGAGTTCCTAGCAGCCAGGGGTGCCATTGGGGAGGAACTAGTAGCCCCCTGAAGTTTGAACCCCTGAATTTCATGCTTGAGGTCTGCTTAAAGAGCATGCCCTACCCCCAGAGGCAGCTCTTCATTGCAGCAGAACTTGTGATGCTCTCAGCTTTGCCTTTGGGACAGGGAGTCTATTTATAAACAGGAGGCAGGGTGATTAAAATAACACGGGACTTGGCATTCAAGTAATTGAAGGCTCCTTAGATGACCATGAAAATATTGCCAGGCACTCCACTTAACAGAGAGGGGGGAAAAGAGTAGGAATAAAGAGTGGGATGCTGCAGGGAGTCTGCATTGAGACTAGCACTAATCAACTTCTTCATAAATGAAATTGGGGTAAACAGTGAGTGGCAAAATTTGCAGGTGATGCAAAATAACTCAAAATAGTTAAGTACAAATCTGACCGAAAAGAGTAACAGAGAGAGTCCACCAAACTGGATGATTGAGCAACACAATGGCAGATGGAAATCAGTATTGATAAATGCAAAGTAATGCACATCTTGCTCTGTCCGCCACACCATCTGGGGACATTGAGGCTACGTCTACATGACAGGGTTTTGGGGCAAAAATGGCTGTTTTTGTGCAAAACCCTGCAGAGCGACCATACCTCAAGCACGTATTTGTGCCAGAAAATTTACAATGAATCGATAGATCAGAGAGGTTTTTTGAGGTATAGGTATTCCTCTTTCTACAAGGAATAACTCCTTTTTGCACAAGAGCTTTTGTGCAAAAAAGTGTGGGTGGACGGGAAACAAGGGATTTTTTTGTGCAAAAACAGCCTATCGAAAGACGCACAGGTGCCGTGATGGCCATTCTGTTAAAGGCTATCAGAGCTTTCTTGCAAGAGAGCATCCATGAAGTCTGGACGCTCTCTTGCGCAAAAGTGCATTGCTTTTCCCATGTGCTTTTGCAGTGTTGATGCGCTCTTGCACAAGACGTTTATGTGGAAGATCCCTTCCACAAACAGCTTCTTGCACAAGAAGCCTGTAGTCTAGACGTAGCCTGAAGGAGCTGCAAGGACTATTAGCGCTCCTGTTGCTGTTCCACCATCCATTTTAATTTCAGGAGCTCTCCAATTTCTCCCAGACCATGATTCCCCCTATTTGGCCTCTCGCACAAATGAGTCCCTGTTCCCAGACAGGCCCCCAGCCTGCCACAGAGTGAATCTCTGGGAGTTCTTTCTGGCATAAGTAAAGATCACATAACTTCAAATTTCCTTCACCACTGCCATGTTTCATTTTGTGGTTCCTGCAAGCTTCTAACTATAGAGCTATTGACTTATATTTACTGCATCTACTGTAGGGCTTTTACTGGCATAAGAATTTCTGTTAAAAAAAACTCACATAATTGAAACAGTTCCACTTGTAAGTTTTACCAGGAAAGCTGATTTTCTGCCAGCACCTTCTTATA